CAGTAACATACAGACAGTCCCTGGCATATAATACATGCTCTCTGCATCTTGGCTGTGTTGCTTTGCTCCCTTACTCCTCACCAACCTTTCCCTCTTGTGCTTGCACAAGCTAATGGCCCTAACTACCCTGCCCTCTCTCGCTGTCTCCATCTGAAAATGTTTGTGCACCCTCCCAGGCTCTCTTCCATCTGGCATGCCTGGCCTCTGCAACTTTTCCCAGCACTGAATCTGTCATTTATTTTCCATCGGGAAACAAGAAGTAGGAACCTGGAGGATGCTGGCTCTGTGACCACTGATATAGACTCCTTAGAAGCCAGGCTGTCAGGCCAGTTCATGCAGAAAGAACTCCTTCCTGTCCCATGCCACCATGGAGCAGTCATCCAGGGCACTCCCCCTGAGCTCCCTGGATCAGGATCTCCATGTGGCCTGGGAAGGGTCTCTTGTCCTCACTGAAGCCAGCTCCTTAATGTCATTCATACATGTGACATAGCAGAAAAAAAAAACCTGATTGGCTTACTGATGAATTCAACACAGCAAGGTTTGTGGGGGGTGGACAGACTAGAGACTGCCCGATATGTCAGCCGATACCCACATGAGTAGCCAACTTCTCACCTCTCCACCTACTTTCATACCCACTTTGTGCTAATTAGACTAAGTAATTCCTCCCTATAAGCTAGATGGTTCTGAGTAGTGCTGTCAGAGGACACTGACCAACGACTTTGCACCTACGGGCCCTTCTCAACTGCCTCTCTAGGCCATCTTTGTGGGTAGTCAGCTCATACCTCTTGCTGTTCCTCAAGCCCAAGTAATTTCCCCTGCCTCCTAGCCCTCCCTCTGCCTGGGCACTGGGTGTCATTTTGGCCTTCTTTAATCTAACGAATTCCGCTCAGGCTTTTAAACCCAGAGCCAACATTGCCCCCCAAGAAGGTCTCTGCCAACCTTTCACAAACCAAACTTATGACTCAGGTCTCCCATCAGTGCTGTGTTGCTAAGCTTTTTGCATAATACTTCCACATTTACATCCTTCCCTTTCCACCAAGACCACAAGCATTGTGAGATTGAGATGATTTTATAACCCAGGTCTGCCCAACATGGTGTCTGATTACCAACACATTTAACTTAATGGATGATAAAGAAAACAGAAATGAATGAATGGATGATGCGGTTTCTAACCAAAGACACAAGCCTTCCCAGTCTTCCCAGCTAAGCAGTGCCTGGAAATGACTCGGCAGGTACGGAATCATGAGGACACCCAGGGTAAGACAGTCATGTTTGCAAAGGCAGAATACTCACAGGAGAAGGTAAAGGAAGTGAGTGCTTACGTCCAAAATAACATCACTAGACCACATGTATCCAGTTTTCATTTCTGTACTTTTTGTTTTCCATTCCCTGTATCCTCCTGCAGGGCTGATTTCCAAAGCTTGGTAAGCAATAGTTGGGGTTTTTTGTAAGACCCAATTTTTTTTTTATTCATTAAAAGGCTATAATTCCCAGCCTGAAAAGTCTCTCATGCAGCAGCTGCAGCTGCACCCCCACCAGGTTTATTGCCTTAGTGATCACCGAACAACCCATTTTCCACTTGTAGGCCTGGTACATGGAATAATGGCTCCCCCCTGCCTGCTTATTTCCGGGATAATTTGGTCCCCTTCTTTCATGTGACCCTCAGTAATCCAATGCAAGGTGGGAATCAGCTTACTAGAACTCACTTTAGAAGGCTTGAAGAGGCATACTTAGTGTAAGTAGCACATGAATTTATATCCAGATAGACTGGACACACCCCAGACATCCCAGGAAAGCCTGTAATGCCATATTAAAAAAAGGAACGGAAGAGTCCCTTATTTTTTGCCATTCTATGGTAGAAATGCTCTACCCAACTCCAACAGTCCCTATGCATTCTGTAGTAAGGCACTGATAAAATCAAAGATTAAAAAACTTGCCCCAGCCGTTCAGTTCATGTTTATAACTTAAGTGAAGCCAAGTTGCAAGGACCTTTGCATGCCTTAATCACCTCGCCCCGCTCCAAGCCCTAGGAAGTTCATACACAAATTGTGCAAAGGAGAAGTCTGAAATTCAGGGCTGCAGAGCTTGTAGATGCTAGAGCAAGCTGTCAAAGTTGGCCAGCAACAGCCTGAAGTCCCCTACCCCAAGCTAGCTCTTCACAACATACTCCCCAGACGTCTGTTCAAGAAAGACTTTCCCAGTTCCTTTTGGCATTTTGCACTATATTCACATAATGTTTTCTCTAAAGGAAAAAGGGCATAATTATTCAAAACCATTCAAATGTTTGTCATATTCATATATGCAAGGTTTTTATGAAGCTTTTTTTTTAAGATTTATTTTTTTATTATTTTTTTATTGGAAAGGCGGATATACAGAGAGAAGAGACAGAGAGGAAGATCCTCCGTCCGATGATTCACTCCCCAAGTGAGCGCAACGGGCCGATACTATGCCAGTCCGAAGCCAGGAGCCTCTTCAGGGTCTCCCACGCGGGTGCAGGGTCCCAAAGCTTTGGGCCGTCCTCGACTGCTTTCCCAGGCCACAGGCAGGGAGCTGGAAGGGAAGCGGGGCTGCTGGGATTAGAACCGGCGCCCATATGGGATCCCGGGCGTGCAAGGCGAGGACCTTTAACCACTTGCGCCACCGCGCCGGGCCCGAAGCTTTTGAATAATAAAAAGAATGCCATAGAGGAAAAGGCTATTTCTTTTTGAAATATTTTTTTATTTATTTTAAAGGAAGGACAACAGAGAGACAGAGAGGAACACACACAGAGAGAGAAAAGGAGAGACTCTTCCATCTGCTGATTGGCTCCCCAAATGATGGCAACAGCCAGGGCTAGGTCAGGACAAAGGAGCCAGGAACTTTATCCAAGACTCACATGTGGGTAACAGGAACCCAGCTAGTTGGCCTTCCAGCCATACAGCAGAAAGTTGTATCGTAAGTGGAGCAGCCAGGACACCAACTGCCAGCCTTACAGGACGTGCCGGCATGGCAGGCGGCAGCCTAACCCATTACACCATGATACCAGCCCAAAATTAATTTTGTTTTCCTGACTCGCAATTTAAGATTTTTGGAATGAATGTCTGTATTATTGAGCTTTTTCACTACTATAGTAAAATATTTGAGCTGGGCTATTTTATGAAGAAAAGTTTGGGCTCATGGTTCTGGAGCTTAAAGTCCAAAGAGCGTGACACGGGGTCTCATGAAGGTTCCCAGGCTGTCAGTTCCTGGCAGGGGCACACACATATTTTAAGTGGTTTCAATCATAGGGGTTCCAACTTAATGATCCAACTGAATTCAGGGGGCTTTCCAAAGTTCCCCTCTTTAAATACCAGAGTCGGATTAAGTCCCACCCTCCCCCCCCCATTCCCCTTAATATCATTAACTAAGACTTCTGGGAATGGAACCCTGGCAGGGGCCTCAGGCTGCAAAGTGACTCCCTTGGCACTGGAAATAAATCACCTGGTGCTTCTGCCCACAGCCCTGAAACAGGGTCCAAGACAGGAGGGGGAGAAAGAAGACTGGGTGAAAGCTGGCAGGCCAGGAGCCCACCTGCTGGGAGCTCCCAGCCCCCATAGAGACCCCACAACAGCAGTTTCAAGAAAGCACTTTAGGCAAGACATTCAGGAGACAAAGAAATCACAAGCCACCTTGGAAAACTAAACCTACTTTGTTAGGAAAGCTCTTCAAGGACAATTTCTCACTTCCAGCTTCTTTTCATTAGTGCTTATTGACCAAAACAGGGAGGACCACACCGAACAGTAAGGTTAGAGTGGAACAGGCCATGAGCTAATTGCAAAGCACAGAGCTGAAGAAACGTGCATGTACCAAATGACCCAAAAGCATGAGTGGAACCGGAGTTTTATATTTCTAATGAATACAAAACAAGAAGCCGGTGAATATGTGGCAACAAATTTAAGGTGAAGTGATACAATCTAGTGTGCTTCCCTACCTCTCAAGGGACAGCCTCCCTGGCTCCCTGGACAGAGCTGTGTACACCTGTAAGAACGCCAAGTGTGACCCACTTCCATTCTGGGACTCTCAGCCCGCCCCCAGCCCCATTCTGAGGAACCCGGCCCAGGGATGGGTCTGATGGCTGCACTATGGCCAGTTCCATAAGGGCTAACTACTCCAGGCCACCCAGGAGCAAACACTGTCCACCTGCGGTAGCCAGTACCTCTGCACTCATAGCTCACCTTGTTAGGTATGCCTAGCCAAGCGAAGCACGCTGTGGACTCAAGGGTCTGATAGGGGACACATTCTAGAATGTTCCAATGAGGGTTTTAAGCTCTCCCAAGGCAGGCAGGTGCAGACCCTGTTTGGGGCTTCTTGGCCAGTGGTGCTGCAGCAGTTGCTGGCCCGTGGGACCCTGGGTGATGCCTCTGCAGGGAGGAGAGACGCTTTCAAACATTTGCCTCCTTAAAAGCACCATGCCCGCATCTGTGCGAAGCAGCCAGATGGTGTTTATCCTGCAGAGCGGCAGATCCGGTTATATATCTCTCTATTCCGTGATATATTTATAAAGTAATGAATGGTCCACCGAACCAAGTTCGTCTGTCTCCGCGCAGGCTCCCCCTCAGCATCAGCCTCAGTCCCTCCCCGAACAGCTTCCCCCGCATGCCTTCCCTCCCAACCCCTCCCCTCCTTATTTCGGAGATTAGAGTTCATTAATTAAATCCTGTGCTTAGATCGAACGGTAACATTATTCCAATCACATTTATCTTGCAGGCGGTGACGGAGATGGCAGCCGCTCTGGAAACACGCGGGGGAGCCTGAGCCCGGGGCCGGGAACGCACAGCGCGCTCCCTGCAGCGCCGCCGCGCCACCCCTTCATCTTTCCGCTCGCCAGCTCGGCCCGCTGGTCCCCTTGGTCCGCTCGTTGCCGCCGCCGGGGGTCCCCGCGCGCCGCCGGCCCGCCCCTAGCCCGGCCCCGGCCGCCGCGCCCGCCCCCGCCACCACGCTGCCTGCGCGCGCGGACAGTCGCGCGCGCACTCGGGCACGCGGGCCAGCCGCCGGCCGCCCCATGGACCCATCGGCCCGGCTGCCCTGATCCCCCCCCAGCCCGGGATGAGAAACTGCAAAATGGCACGGGTGGCCAGTGTGCTGGGGCTGGTCATGCTCAGCGTGGCCCTGCTGATTCTGTCGCTCATCAGCTACGTGTCCCTGAAAAAGGAGAACATCTTCACCACTCCCAAGTACGCCAGCCCCGGGGCGCCGCGCATGTACATGTTCCACGCGGGATTCCGGTGAGTGTCGCCCGGGCCCTGTGTCCTCGGGCCCCCGGCCGGCCGAGTGCGGGCTGCTGGGACAGGGGTCGGGCTCTCCTAGAGCCCCTGGGCGAGGGAACTGCCTGCTTCTTCCCCCTCCTTCTTCCCCCCCCCCCCACTCCGCTTCACCCTTCCTCCTCCCTCTTATTTTTTTAACCCGAAGCCCCTAAAAGCCCCGGTGCTGCTAATCGATGCGATTGCCTTTCTCGTTTTCTTCCTCGGCATCCCCTCCCCATTTCAGAAATGGGGGGGAAGACTCTGGAGAGGTTGTGCGCTTGGGAGGGGGCGGCAAGGCAGGTGGTCAGCGCCCTCCCGGCACCGGGGTCCGCAGCCTCGGTGGCTGGCTCCAGGCGGTGCGGGCGCTTTAATGGCGCAGGCGCCGGGCTCCGCTCACAGCTTTCCCGGCCCCTCCCGCCGGCGTCCAGGGACGCGCAGGTTCCTCCTCCCCAAGCCCCTGGATGTTCTCCTCGACCCGGTCCCCACCAGGCCCTCGGCGCCCCGCCAGCCCACTTCAGGGCTCCCCCGAGGAGGAAGCACAGTCCTCGGCCCGCGCAACCCGGCGCGGTACGAAGGCGCCACGGGCCGCACGGGGGAGGCGCCGGAATCCAGGGAAGCATCTCCACGGATGCGCCCGTGCCTACCTGTGCCCCCGGCGAGCGGCCCACACCCACGCCACCTGCGGGCGCACGCCGGTCCACACTGCTCCCATCAGAAAAGTCAAGGGATGGGAGTAAAATCCTACTTGGGCTCGGGAAGGAAAGGGTTAAGGTTAGGCTGGAACCACCGCGCTTTCCCGCAGAAGCTCTGGTTTTCAGTGCTCTTTTCCCCAAAAAATCTTGGCATTCCGGGCGGCCGCTGTCCGTGGTGCTGACTCGGAGTCCGCACCTCGATCCCGGCCCCTGATACCCGCCCCTGCCCTCGCACGACGGCCATTTTCTGGCCTCTCCCGCACCCGCTGGCCGACAATGGAGACAGCTTCCCTGGCTGCCCGCCTTTCCCTGGGCCGCGGGCGTCCAGGGTGGTCCTCCCGAGGGCGGCCCGGGGCTACTATCCATGCTGAAGCCCGTGCTTCTGTCTGTGCACCTCCCGCTCCTCTCCAGGTCACAGTTTGCGCTGAAGTTTCTAGACCCATCGTTTGTGCCCATTACGAATTCTCTCACCCAGGAACTCCACGAGAAACCTTCTAAATGGACTTTTAATCGGACAGCGTTTTTGCATCAAAGGTAGGATAGGAGGAAATTATCCAAACGTGTGTTTGAATTCTCTAACCCATAGAAGGAAACAACTCCCTGAAATTCAGAATCACCAAAATTACTCTTCCCCACCCCCACCAGCCCCAGCTCCAGTCCTGTTCCAGCCCAGCCCCAGCCCAGCTCCAGCCCCGCCCCAGCCCAGCTCTAGCTCCAGCCTAGCTCCAGTTCCCGCCTAGCCCAGCTCCAGCCCAGCTCCAGTCCTGTTCCAGCCCAGCCCCAGCCCAGCTCCAGCCCCGCCCCAGCCCAGCTCCAGCCCCAGCCTAGCTCCAGTTCCCGCCTAGCCCAGCTCCAGCCCAGCTCCAGCCCCAGCCCCAGCCCAGCTCCAGCCCAGTCCTGCTCCAGCTCCAGCCCCAGCCCAGCTCCAGCCCAGCTCCAGCCCAGCTCCAGCCCAGCTCTAGCCCTGCTCCAACTCCAACCCCAGTCCAGCTCCAACCCCAGTCCAGCTCCAGCCCAGCTCCAGCCCTAGTCCAGCTCTAACCCCAGCCTAGCTCCAGCCCCAGCTCCAGTTCCAGCTCCAGCCCAGCTCCAGCCCTGCTCCAACTCTAGCCCCAGTCCAGCTCCAGCTCCAGCCCAGCTCCAGCCCTGCTCCAACTCTATCTAGCCCCAATCCAGCTCCAACCCCAGCTCCAGCCCAGCCCAGCTCCAGCCCTAGTCCAGCTCCAACCCCGGTCCTGCTCCAACCCAGTCCAGCTCCAGCCCAGCTCCAGCCCTGCTCCAACTCCAACCCCAGTCCAGCTCCAACCCCAGCCCAGCTCCAGCCCAGCTCCAGCCCAGCTCCAGCCCCAGCCCAGCTCCAGCCCCAGCCCAGCTCCAGCCCAGCTCCAGCCCCAGTCCAGCTCCAGCCCCAGCCCAGCTCCAGCCCCAGCCCAGCTCCAGCCCTGCTCCAACTCCAGCCCCAGTCCAGCCCCAGCTCCAACCCAGTTCTATTCATCCATTTGAAAATTTAAGCAAAATAAACTTGCAAAATTGGTTTAACTACCCAATGCATTTTAATTTTTATTGAGAAAAAAAATTTAAAAAACAAACAAACAAAATGCTATCATCTCGTTGAAACACACACAAAATGACTTCATCCACTGCCATCAAACACTAGTTTACCACACACAGGTAGGTTTCTAGGTATTGTTTTCAATGATTTTTGCTTTGGTTTTATTTATTAACCCTTTGCAGCTTTTAACTTATTGCGAAACTAACATCACAATGATTTTTTGTAGTATCATTATTTTTACATGAAGTTGTTTTGCTTGTTGCTTGGTTGTCAGTTGTTTTGGGGGACAAAGGAGTGAGCTTTGCTGAGGTTCCCCACTGACTCTGCTCTACTTTCAGTGCTTGGGTCAACGCTAAAACCCCCACCTCTTGAGTACAAGTGCTGTCCTGCTAAACACCACGCTAGCCATCTAGTATATTCATGGGGGTGTGAAGACTTAAGTTACAAACCTGTCTGTTTGGAGAGCTGTGCCTATCCAGTTACCCCTCCTTGCCCACTCTCTCTTGAATGTCTTAATCACTTGGCGGAATTAAATTCCACAGATATACATGGTGCCAGGAACATGTTGCTGGCTAGAAAAATTAACATATAGTCATATGATTAGATTAACATGTTTCTTTAGGAAGTAGTTCATGAAAGTTAATTCCAAACTCCTAGAAGTTGTTTTAAAACAAAAAAGAAAAAGAAAAGTTCTGTCTCATAGACAGTATAGAAACTTTCTGGGTAAAACACATGATATCTTTCCCCAAATCGTATTTCTAACTCAGTAAAGATGTTCTTCCCACAGTGGACCACAGAACCCTTGTGGTGAATCACAATAGTTTTCTCAAAGCCTCTTTCCAAAAAGCCACTTAATAAGTAATCTTTAACTGGCTTTCACCCGTGTTGTTTCATTATTGTCTTGCCCTGGAATGGCTTATATGAAGTTATTGGTTACTTAGAAATTTTTGAAATGGAGATTGAAGTTTGTGTTGCTGTATACTTTGAATAATGAAGTATTTTTCAAAAATAAAATTCCCAGCAAAGTTAAAATGTGCAAAGCATGTTATTCCACTCTCAATATTTTTAGGCAGAAGACATGGAAGACTCAGTGTGATTTCTTTGCACTAGGGAATCTGCCAGCAGAGTAGCCATTGCTTATCCCATGGAAATATTTTAAATAGCTGAGACTTGAACAGGAGAGGCTTCATTTTACTCAACACGTAATATGAAAGTAATCTGAAATTAGGTCTTCTTGTCATTCTTGCCTCACTCCATGCTCTGACTTGCTACAGTATACATGCTTTTTCATGATGTATAGCAGCCTCTTTTTCTAGATTAGATTTTGCCAACTAAATTGTATTTCTATATAATCAAGCAGAACAGAATCCTTGTTTCATTATCCAAGAACCTTATTAAGATTATCATCTCTTTTTTATTAAACAAATACACCCACTGCTATTGCCTTATTCCTATTTTAATAATAGATAGTCATGTACCAACGAATAAGATCTGCTTGCCTCTTCTTTGCACACCAGTGGTACCTGATATCTTGAAAACACTTGGAACCAACAGCCAACAGGCAGTCCCTGCTTATAGACTCTCACTTATGTGTGCGTGTTAATACGAGCTCTTTGGAGCCTGTGTACATTGTCTCCCTGTATTTTCAGACCTGTTTTGGTCCCCAAGTCAACCCCCTGATCACATATATTATTCAAGGTGAGCAAAAGCGTAGAAATGGCAGCCAAAACAGTTCAAAATTTGCATTCACAACTTAACCTAGACAGACATGTGTCTGTGATAATATGTAGTCTTTTTTGGGTACAGTGTGTCCAAGACAATTCTCTGAGTGAAAATGGCAATGTAACACAAAAGATTGCACAATCAGTTCTTTGAAATGGAATGCATTTAATGAATTTCTCTTTATTTTAGGCAAGAAATTCTTCAGCATGTCGATGTAATAAAAAATTTTTCTTTGACCAAGAATAGTGTTCGGATCGGACAACTGATGCACTATGATTATTCCAGCCATAAATATGTTTTCTCTATTAGCAATAACTTTCGCTCACTGCTTCCAGATGTGTCACCCATTATGAATAAGCATTATAATATCTGTGCTGTGGTTGGAAATAGTGGTATCCTGACAGGGAGCCAGTGCGGACAAGAAATAGACCAATCAGATTTTGTTTTTCGCTGTAATTTTGCCCCAACGGAGGCCTTCCAAAAAGATGTTGGAAGAAAAACCAACCTTACCACCTTCAACCCCAGCATCCTGGAAAAATATTACAATAATCTCTTGACCATTCAGGACCGGAACAACTTTTTTCTCAGTTTAAAAAAGCTTGATGGGGCCATTCTTTGGATCCCTGCATTTTTCTTTCACACTTCAGCAACTGTTACCAGAACACTAGTTGACTTTTTTGTTGAACACAGAGGTCAATTAAAGGTCCAGTTGGCTTGGCCTGGAAATATAATGCAGCATGTCAACAGGTATGTATATTTGATTGCATTTAACTCCTAATCCACCAGATGGCAAATCAGTATTATAATCTCCAGGGGGTAGGTGGCGGAGGTGGGAGCCATCTAGTAAGTCAGTCATGGTTATTTTAGTTGTGTTGGGCAAACTTTTTATCTTTTGTAATGAATGACTATATTGCCATTCTAGGTAAGTTCAGTCCACCCTCAGCTAGTGACCAAGAGCCAGATGGAGCGAGTGGCATTTCATCACGCTCTCCTACTACTCTGGTCCCCTCTCTTGGTGAGAACAGAGGTCTTCAAAAAGTTCATGGAAATGCATTTCATACAAAAAAACCTGCAAAATCCCTTTGCACAAAAATAAAGTTATCTCTTAATTCCATTGCCCATGAGCTTTTTTAAATTCCCTTATATGCCTACCAAGCAATCATAGCAATTACCATAAATCAAGAATTCGTTTTAGATGGATAACCACATCTCAAAAATGCCACAAAAATTATTACAGAAATGAAATTTTTTTAATGAAAGATACAGTTGACTTTAAATGTTCCCTTTTGTTCAAAACAAAAGTATTTTGTTGATCCATGACTTTAGTAAGCCACCTATATAAATCATAAATACATAATTTTCCTTTATAATTTGTTACTTGAGGGGAAAAAAACGCATGAGAAAAATTTCATGAATGCACTATCCCCTGTGGTTTGATAGAGGGATTGACCAGAACTGCAATATTTCCATCTAGTCTGGAAATTCCCAACTCAGGCTGTAGAGAACTTGAAACAAAACACTACTACTTGGGCTCTGCCTTAAGAAATTCTGTATAATCCTGGTGATAATTATTAGATGGGGACCAGACATTTGGTATGTTTTGTAAATCCCTGGATGATTCTAATATGAAGCCAATATTGACAGCTACTCATCTGGGACACTTTGTAAAGCAAAAATTAATCTCAAGATGCTTTTCTCTTAAATCATCTGGAAGATTGCCTCAACTTTAATTTCTGCAGATGTAAGTGGTAGCAGGATCCTAGCAGAGGATATTATTACAAGTTAAACTGGGTTCTGGAAGGTCTGGCATATGGACACTTACAAAGATTTGTATCCCCTAATAGATTATTCCATCCTGTAGTTCCCTAAAGTTGCCCAAGTTTAGAATCTGTTTAGTTGACCACTCATAGAAGAAAGAACTATAGTGCAATAAATTGGGATGTGTCTGAAAGACAGAGTGATGCCATGATTTATATTCCACTCTGGAACTTTGAAAGAAAGATGCTGCTGGTGATAATTGTGACAAAGGTCACATACATTTCCCAGCTTCCCTAAATGTTTGCCCTTTAGGACAGTGTAGCCCAACTCCTAAATTTGAAGATGAATCAATTGGAATACTAGTAGCAGGATTTTCTATTTACTTATTTATTTATTTTACCCCAATGTCACTACTCAAAATGATCAGAACAAGAAAAGCCAAGTCTCCTGCCAGCCTTGGTCTTTTGAACTCATCATTTCACTCCCCTCCCCCTTCGTGTCTTCTGAAAGAGGAAAGATGTACAGGACTGAGCTGGGAAGTGGGTTTATCCATGTCACTTGAAATAGTCTAGACAAACCTGCCTCCTGGCCCAGGCTGACTGACTTATTTTATTGATGCCTTCAACACTGGTCTCTGAATCCATGTGTACTTATCGTTGCACAGGTACTGGAAAAACAAACATCTGTCGCCCAAACGGCTGAGCACAGGTATTCTAATGTATACTCTTGCATCAGCAATATGTGAAGAAATCCACTTGTATGGATTTTGGCCTTTTGGATTTGACCCCAATACAAGGGAAGACCTTCCATACCATTACTATGACAAAAAAGGAACCAAATTCACCACCAAATGGCAGGAGTCCCACCAGCTGCCTGCTGAGTTTCAGCTGCTGTACCGAATGCATGGGGAAGGGCTCACCAAGCTGACTCTGTCACACTGTGCCTAAGAACTCCAAATGGAGAGTGCCAAACGGCTGTTTAAAAGTGCCCCAAAGTCAAGTTGAATAGTCTTCAGAATAGAACCCTAGGGAATGTCTCTTAATCTGCCATTTGAAAGGAAGTAATTCTCTTTCTTGCACTGCTCTTATAAGGGGCTTGGCAGACTTAGCAAGGACAGATGGCATTGAAACCAGATGATTGAAACTGGACTGATAAAGGGAATGTTGCATTTGGAAGTATGCTGCTAACAAAATGGTTTAAATTATTTTCGTGTTTGTATTTTGATAAAAAAAAAAAACTGCCTCCCATCTTTATGAGGATGAGAGCTAGAGTTTCTATAGCTCTTGCTTAGATACAGTCATCAAAATCAGAGGCCTCTGGCCAACTGGGGCACATCTCAGTTTTGCTGGTAGGATGGAAACAAACAAAAAACCTGGTTTGCATATCTCATCTCCTCCTATATCCCTCTGTACCATCTCTCTTGCTCTCCTTACAGCCGTTCCCTTTTGTCCCCTGCCCCAGCACTGTGGAGTTTAATAATTTGCTAGGAATACTGTTGAATTAGCTTTGCTTGTGTGTGTTGCATCTGTACTTGATGTGTTTAAGGCTCTGGGTAACTTTGACGTTTTTGTGACAAACCAAGGACAATCATGATGGATCCTCTGGTGATTACTTTCATAAGAAATGACTCTTATAAAGTCCTCTCCGATCCACACAGTCATTCTGTAGCCATGGTGGCCCCTCTGTTGTGGGTAGCATGCAATGCAGTATACCCTTTACTCAGAGAGAGCACCTATGGCATGGGTGGCATCTCACGTCTTGATATGAGTGCCCTTATGGCAGGTATTAACACCATTACCATCTCTACTAGGGCACTCCAGTCTTGGTTTGGTGCCTGGGCAGGGCATTGTCTCTGAATTTAGAAGCATCGAGTCTGCTTAAGAGCCTGAGACACATACAGGAAAAGGAAGATGAATATTCAGAAGTTGTTGTGGAATCCTGTCCCTTTAATGTGTTACTATCATGTTACTGAGTCAGAGCCTTTGAGAATCAGCAGGTTAGATTGGAAGAGAAGCTTGGACCTTGGCCAAACAGGCCCCTGTGTGTGTAGTGCCCACATGAGGTTACTTCGAATATCACTGCGCCCATGGCTGCCCATCAAGAATTAGACACTTGATATTCCCTCTGCCCACTGAAGGCATTTCTCTATGCCTAAAAACTAAGCATTTCAAAAGGAAAATCTTATTTTTTTTTCAGTAGCAAAATTGGCTACTAAAGCGCTCTCGGAATTGGGTTTTATGTAGGCCAATTGTAAAGGAATTGGTGGACCATTCCCCTTTTCATTATTTTTACTGGTGAAGTAGAAATCACATCATTTCCATCCCTGACTTTTTACTGAGCATCTTCGTTCTTACAATTCAAAGTCCAGCCAAGTTGATGTTAAGTTTTAATAAGTGTTTCTTCTTTCCAAATGCCAGTCAAGCATACTTGCTTTAGGTTTGAGTGGGACAGCTCATTTCTTTCCAGATGTCTGGTCTAGATTACTTGCAGTGTTACAAATACAATTAAGGACAATTGCTATAGCTCAGGAGTCAGCTTATGGCCCTCTTTGGGAAGGTGTAAGCATGCCCCCAATTAAACCAAATGCAATGAGGAAAGACACAGACTTGATGTTCATGTTGTGCCTGGTCCCAAAGCTGTCCCATTCTTTCCCAAATGCTGTCTAATTAGGACAGTGTATGTAAATATAGACATCAGTTGCTGATAGAGAAACCATTCAGGTTCAGACGTGGCCAGTTGTGACACATGCTCCAATGTTGTGTGAATGGCTATTATCCAAATAGATGGGAAGAAATAGGAGTAGATGTTTCAAAATGAGAAACTCTAAAATAGCTCTGTTCTTGAAAATAATCATTAAGAGAAATAGCGAAATCATCTTTAAATTCATGGGTTTGATTTGACATCCATCAGAACCACATCGTGCTTGTTCCTTGTATGAGGACAGCACCACCATTCTCAAGTTATTGTTTTATTGGTTTCACTGTGAGACTTATAACCAACAGAGGTGTCATGTTGGCTATTCTCGAGCACTTAGGTCATTTGGTAACAGTTAAGACAGTTATACAACACTCAGACCGGGTTGCAGGGACCAGATTCTGACTGGAGATTTAAGAACAACGCACCCTTTGGTTTTTAGGCAGTACTAGTACACAGTCACTTTGAACAACACAGGTTATAAAACAAGACACTAGAATCCCTAAAATCAGGTAGTTGCTACAGGGTGAGCTCTTTAAATTTGATCTCATCACAAAGCAAGAGTTAGTCTTTGTTCTTTTTTTCACTGACTCCAGGAGTTTTTGAAATTTTACTATACCCTTGGCTCCATCTTAAGTCTAGAGTGGGAGGACTTGGCTGTCCCTCACCATCAATTTGTCAATCAGTTTAACAGAACTCAAAATAACGAATAAATCCAGAGCTAGAATGGTCAGAAATCAGCTCATCCCTGCTTCTAGGTCAAATTTCCAGGAGCTGATCCCCAAGGACTAGCCCCCACTTTGTTACAAAAAAAAAAAAAACACTTATAAAGAATATTTCAACTCCTTCTCTAGAGGTTCATGAGCACAATTCTCATAATTTGTAACTTCATCATTTATAGCCTGCTCTCCTCTGTTGCAAAATTTAGGTGCAGTTTGCAGGTAAAGCATTCAGTTCAAGTTTTAGCACACAGTATGTGCTCAATGTGTGGCAGCTTTTACTGCTACTTTTACGGTTAGTTATGTCCCTGACTTGCAGTTCTAGCACAGAGAAAAACAACCAGCGGCTGGTCATACCAAAAAATCTTTTTGTCTTAAATTCCCACAACCAAAAGACTTGGTGGGTCCCCTGTGTCCCCTGTGATTAAGGAGACAGCAGTAGAAGCAACCAGAACTTGCCAGCCCTCCTACGTTTCCCAAGCTGGTGTGGGCAAGTGCAGTGAGCTGTACTGAAGGGACCATTAGGGTCTCCCTTCTGATTCAGCTACAGATCCATCTCCCTGGCTTTTGCATGGACCTCACTTTGTTGATTCTGGGCTTAGAACACTTTTTTGGCAATCTTCCTGATTTGGGATGCTCCTAACAGAATGCACGCCAGCTGTGGAAATAAATTTCACCATAAAGCCCCCAAGAGTCTCTACATCTGACACCAAAACCAACTGAGTTGTAGGAGGGGTAAAGGTAAATATATGTAACTTGATAATACCAGACCCTTGATTGCTATCACTTGTTCTGAGTGTAATGTGTGTAGATCCAGGGAAAAAACAAGGTTAACAAGTGGTATCGGTCACTCCTTCCATAGCTGAAAAACCTCTCCCATACTTGATGAATAAGAAGTCTGGTTCCTTTGCCTTTGTGTCTGTGTGTTACATGTCTTTGCCTAGCAAAGAGCTGTGTGTATGGTGGCAGCATGTGCCTGGCAGTGCTGATGCTGACTGCTGTGCCATCTCTCTGGGACCTCAACATCAGGCACCTGACCGTGGGGTACCAGCAAGAATGTGCAAAGCAAGAGGTACTCTCCCCAGCACCACCTGCTGCCTTCTGCCCAAGCTACCTGTCACTCAAAGACGTGAGTGCCAATTCTGGGAGGAAGTTGAGGGATGAAAGAACATATCCTCAGACTTTGGGCAAGACACTAATTATTAGACACTCTCAGACAACAAAGCAGTCTTTCCCTGGGGCCAAAGGTGAGTGGAACAACACTTGGGAATGTGTAACACTGGAAACTGAGGAGCCTTCAAGCTTCTCCAGTGCTCATTCTTGACTTTATGAAGAAGATGGAGAAATGGAGAGGCTTGGTGACATGCCCAAGACTGCGTAGGTAATTAGTGCAGCAGTCATGATTCCTCATCAAGCACTCCTCAGCCTTGACAGACTCAATGGGAAAGTGGTTTTGGTCTGGGATATATAGGACACACAAAGTATGTTAGACAATAGACATGGAAAAATAACAATAAATGAGATGCTTGCCTCAATATGCAGCAGCCCACTGATACCTTCCTTTGTCCATGAAATAGAAGAAAATCCACTTGGTCAGCCATTATGTGATAAATCACAGTTAAGTTAATGATGACTCAGGGTTGACAGCTGAAACCTTACACAAATTTCATCCTAAACCCTGGCCTCAGTAGAAGTTGAGTGAAAATAGTTATATATGTCTTTGTTTTGTATACTTTGTAACTGGGGTCTCTCGAATTAAGAAATGCCTCCTATATTGTAAGTTGTTCTATGCACTTAGTTTCATATGCCAAGAAAATGTACAGATAGTGAATGGCTTTGCTGAGTCTTCATGTGTAAAATAACAGATTGAATAATCTTCTGTGTGATTCTGGATCCTATAATTATTTTTCCCCTAATTGTTTGAATGCACCAGGTAAAAGTTTAGCTTATTCTGATATCTTTGCTTACTGAATTGGGGTTGGGCATATGTGAATGAGGATCCCAGATGAAACAGCACCATCAGGAGACATGGGAGGATGGAATCCTTTGTCCAAATGACTAACCTGTATGGACTCTGTGGACAATTAATCAAAGCCACAGATGAGCCGATACTAAAAACTAAAATGGCAAATTATGTCTCCTTCACACCCTGATGGCTTTGTTTGGAGACAACACTTGAAATGGGAAATAGTTTAGAATGTCGTTGTGTTATGCAGTGTTTCTGGAAGTCTACTATTATTGTGATGATTTATTATTGAAGACATATTGTTTGAATAGATGCTTTGATTCTCAGCAAGCTCCTTCTCATTGTTTACAGTGGAGTCACAGGGAAGATCCTGTTGCAAATTAACACCTCAGTTAAGATGAGTTGAGAGTTCTGAGCTTGCAAAGTAACTCAATTTAAAACTGTAGTGGCATTCTGAGATTAGACTCTGAATTTTGCTGCCAATTCCACAACAAGGGAAGGCCTGACATGAGGAACTCTCAAAGTACAATCATTGCTCCCGATTCCATACCACTGACTCATAATGTCCTAAATAAGTCCAGCTTACAAACATTCAAAGATATTTTTTACTT